AGCAAACGGATTACCTGATGGATGGAAGCAATCAGCGTCGCCCATAGACATCCGCAACGACGGAGGAGTTACGAGTGCGTTGTCGACCTTTTGGGGATTAAGGATTTGAAGATTTTGGGAAAAGGAACGGAATGGGGTAGGGGTTGGATTGGGCCTCCGGTAACCGAACTCACTCGGCGAAACATATCTTTTTGATTATTTCACGCCGGTTTTCTGTAGGCGGACTTAATGCAATGAGCATTCTCTTCCAGTCTACCTTAGGGTGATGCTGAGTCCATCCAGTGGTAGATGCAAGAAGCAAGCTAGATTAACGTACCTATTGTGACTACCTACATAAACATATAAAATACACAGATACATACTAGCTATCAGCGCCATCTGCCGGACTGATTTGTGAATCTAAACCACCTATGGCGCCACACAAACGCACAAAGAAAAAAACATTTAAATCGGTCGAGCCGTTTAGGAGGAGATCATGACACACACGTACAGCAGAATTACATAAATATATAAAGATATATTTAAAAACCGAAAAAAAACTACACATATAGCCTACTACTAATACACATATATGTAGTCACGATCAGGATAATTCCCCCAACCTCATCGAAAAAAGCTCCCGAACTCTCTACTTGAGTTAAGTATTAAGTTGCATTTTTAATATTACAGAGAATAAATTACGAATGCCGAAAAACTTTTATTGTAAAAGAAAATGTATTAACAATACGTAACACATAAAGTCCAAAAGCAAAAGTGTACTGTATACTTATAACAAATAAAAAAGTCGAAATTTTTTTTGCTCGTTCGTGTGTGTGTCGTCATTTTACCTTTTGCCTCAAATATTTACGAGGTTACGTTGTAATCATATTGATTTGACAAGAGATACTCAGAAATTCCCCTGTATGAAATAAAAACGTGTGTGAAGCACTCTTATATTTTGCTTGTACTTTCTTAGTGTATTTAGATACCACTGATAAACGACGAAGGAAAACATTGTGGGGAAACGTGTACTTATATAATTTCTAACTATAATATTTTGAAATAACCAATTTGCCTTGAGCAGAAAGAGTGAGTCGGCTCGACCGGAGGTATACCACGGCCTCGCAGAAAATCGACATGTCACAATCACAGCGTTGTGTTTCGCCGTGTGTCTGAGGTTACCGAAGGTCCCAAATGTTGGCTAATGTTAAAAAAATATTAAACTAATCACCGTTTATTTCAATTAGGTGTAACGTATACGTGACTTGGTTGTTTGCAAACGCATCCACGACACAGTAAAGAACCCTAGAGGAACAAAGTTCATTTGAAAACAAACTCAAAAGGTATATTGTTTTGTAGAATATTTTTCAATAACGATGTTTTAAGAGATATTTAAGATTTACTTCTTGCAATTCGCTAGTTTTCTTGGCAATGCATTCTATCTCTGAAGCCCATTTATAGGTATATACCCTCAGTTCTCGTATCGGGCACTCGTTCAACTCTACAAATCAATATTTACCCATAACTCTCAACCGACTTATGCCGTAGTAGATATGATACTATTACTGTTAACCTCTTTTCTTAAAAAGGAAACTATTAACAATACTTAACAGTACAAAACAACTATTTTTGTACACCTTTGTAAGTCATATGAAATCAATTAATTATGTTTAATTACTTTGGACTTGACATGTGTTGCAACGCTGTTTATAATGACGAGCCCCCAGTGTAGCTTGATAAGTCGATTACTTGATTAAGTCGTTACACATATAATTACATGCAGAGGCTATCAATATAATATTTCATATATGACTAATGATATTTATTTATTTAAAACTAAGCACACCAAATTCAATGCAATCACCCAATGCTATACAAAATGCTTAATAATCAAATAATATAATGCACAAGCATTTAGACAAATTACAGGTGTGTATTAAACGTGAAACGTTTTTGAGACTTATACAATAACAAGTTAGCTAATAATAATAATAAAATACATGTTAAAGCAATAACGACGGGCACTGTTCACACTGTTTAAGTAGAGAGCGTCTGTATGATGATGGTACACACATTAATGATCTTATTAGGCTAGAGATAACTAAAATAAAATTTGTTTATATGGCATGGGGCAGCTAACAATCAGCAGATTATCTGACATCACAAGAGGAGTTTCAAGAGCGTCGCCAGCCTTTTGAGGATAAGGGTCTGAGGGTTTGAGGCTTGGACATCGGGGTAGGATGTAGGGTTGATAACTCACGGTAAAACATAATGCACGAATTGTGTCACGTCGGTTATCGGTTGAGGTATCACTCCGATGTTACCGGTCCATATTTGCCAAAACATGGGTCTCTTACACTTATATGTATATTTAATCAACAAGACTAACGCCACAAAAAGAGGAGTAACTACGAGTATTCATACCTACTGCATAATTCTTTGTTTATTATCTGTTTTTATTGCCTTCTACGTAAACATTATGTATTTGCAGAAAATAGCATTATTTTAAATCATATTGTATGTAACAATATTCCGGGTATTCGCTCTCCAATGAGCAATCGATTATTATAAATATATTATTATATTACCTTTTGTACATACTTTGACATTTTCCTTACTTTGAAGTCCAAACTTTCTTAGAATCACAATAATGAGGCTTGTTTATCAAGAAAGTTATAATAAACATGGCAATTCTCATAAAATTGTCTTGAGTTTGTAATTTACCAATAATTTTGATACTAGCTCTAGGACAGAACATTGTATAGATAATATTATTCCTCAAGTTGAATATATGATGATACCCAAATAGGTCAGTGCAATAACCAACTTCATCCAACAACTTCCACGTCATTACCGAGATGGTAGGTAGGTACGCATAGATCGCTTCTCACACAGAGAAGGTATGAGCCCACGCTTGCTAAAGTCGGATTGGCGATTTCAAACTTATAATTTGAAATCATAGGATCAAGTTTCCTCGCGATGATTTCGTTCACTGTTTATCAGGGTCAAGTTAATTTTAGATCTCTGGTCTCGTCTATAACTCGGAAAAATAGACATTGGTACTTTCCAGGTTTCAAAATCGCACACCAGAAGACACCTTAACGTCAAGGCTAGTAATACTTTTACACCTTGGTTTTGATCTGCTAAAAAAGTATGCAAAGACTATGATGAAGATTAACTTCAAGATTACTTTAATAGAACTTCCTTCTGACTTGTACTGAAGTGGCTATGGAGAAGTAGATACTAAGGCATGTAGTCATAAAGTCATAATATATTCCTCCAAATATCTTTAGTTCAAAATTTTAAAAGTTTCTTTCAGTAGCTTTATGAAAAAAATAAATATCTGTATCACTTTAAAGTATAAAACAAAGTCGATTCATCTGTCCCTATATCCCTATGTATGCTTAAATCTTTAAAACTACGCAACGGACTTTGATACGGTTTTCTGATTAGCGATTGAAAAGTATATACATATGTATAATCCATTAAATAGTGAACAAATTTAGTATCAACATAGTCATCGTGCTAAGCCAGGGCAGGTGGCTAGTATCCTAATAATCTTTTGCGTTTATCATAATTATGAAGTACAAAATTTAAAATAAGGTCCGCTATCGTAAGCTCCAATGCCCAATCCATTAAATACAATGGCTATTAATCACATGCATAATGAGTTGTCAACCGCTATTTGTATTTTAAATTATGTTGAATCAATGTGGCTTGATTACTACCATTTTCAAATAAGCTGTGACTTTTTTACCGACACGCCCTCGCAGAAAATGTGAAAAACCGTTTGAGTTTTCGCGGGGTGACTTAGGATCACCGTTGATTGGGATTTTTGCCACTAATTTGACTGCAATGAGGATATAGAAAAGTGCACTTTATTCGACCGGGTCTTTTTTACTTTCACCTATTACTGTCACTCACGATGCGTTCGCTGACACTGTTCGTAAGAGGCAAATCTCACCCTTGCCGCGCTGTCTATGGTTCGAGACTCAACATTTTATTATTCATTAATTTTTGTCTATGTTTTGTGTCTTGATATACTCTCGTATTGTGATTTGTTTTGTCTATGGCTTGTTTTAATTGTTTTTTGTTTCATTTGTTTTTTAATCTTTTATTATTTCTTTACTTAGCTGTTTATATATATTTTTATTTTATTTAGTGGATTCGTGCCGAAACGGCGTCAGGATTTTATAGTCCCGAGGCAAGGCCACGTGGTGGGTCAGCGCTGAAAACCAGCGCTGTTGTTTCGTGCCTGCGTGCGCGAGACACAGCATTTATGCTGAGCGCTGACCCTTTTCACGCATGAGTGACGCAATTGCAGCGCTTATTTTATGTTCATTGTTACTTTATCCCTAGCTATAATCGTGTGTGTTTGTTTCTTGCGTCATTTGTGTGTAAAAGAAATGGTTTTTCTTTCTTTCTTTCTTTCATATGTGTAATAGATTTCAAAATGAAATAAGCAGAAATGACAAAAAATCAGTAGTGATAAAAGTAACTTCCATAGTATTGTAATAGATCGCTTGACAGTCACGCTGCAAATATTTGTAGCAGTGTAATTACGTCACCGCAGTGTTCGCCCTCTCCTATATCTGCATTACACTCAAATTAGAGACAAAAAGCCGTGGTCAGAAGATCAGAAGGACCTTAAGTTACTGGAGGCCCAATACTTTCCACCTCTCATCTCTTAAATCCCTCTGTTGTTTGTAGGGCCGCGGAAATTTGTAATTTTGTTTTGTAACATGAATTTTATAAATTAATAGCTAATATACAGTACTAGGTAATAATAATATCTATGTAACAGAAGCATTACCTGTTAAAACCTTTGACTAATTTATATGCATCATTTAATATAATACTACATTATAATTCCATGAATCGACGTATTAGTGATTCAAAATTTATGCAGAATCACATACCCTGAAACCGCTTTTGTATTTAAATATTATAAATAGGATATATTTTATTTACATAACAACAGTACGTTTGTATAACGTAGCTGGAGTTGCGGGTTAAGCGCAATGAGTCACAGCGGCCTCGGCCCGGAGCAGGAGAAGGCACGGGGGTTTTTAGTCAGTAAGAGTCTGACACTCTCTCTCGCCTTACCCTAGGCGGGAGAAGTCATTTGATGATTTTTCCCTGACAAAAAAAGGGTATCACGTAACTTCGAATTGCATTGTCGGGTGATCCTCCGAAAATCGTTTTGGGATTTTTGACACAATACCAGAGGTGATAGAAGAGCGTTGCCGCTCATTAAGAAGTTGTTAGAGATTTGAATGTGCGGGAAAGAGCTGGGTCTACGGTAATTTTACTCAAAGATGAGCGCTGTTTCACGCTGGCTTTCTGCAAGGCTGTAGTATTAGTCAAGTCGAGCTCTCTTTTTCGTGCTAAAGCCTGGCTCTCACATATTGAAATATGTATTTAACTTGTTTTAAACTGTAGGTAGTAGGGAGACCTACCTACTCCTCAAAAGTAAAGGTCAAGGTGTAATATATATTACACTAGCTCTTGCCCGCGACTCCGTTCGCGTGGAATAGTGACTTAATGCAGATTTTTGGTATAAAAATTATCCTATGTCCTTTCTCGAGTTGTTGAAGAAAAAACAGACAGACAGGCAGAGTTGCTTTGGCATTTATAATATTAGTTTGGATTTCTACTCACATACGGACATAAAATAACCTGGATAATACTTGTACGTGTAGGTAAATCTATAAGCACATAAATTGTCTTAAGAATTAACCATAAATTGCAATTTGTGTGGGCTGACCTAAGTGGAATAGATAGAGAAACCACGAGCATAAGCCAGTGCGTTGGTGAGCCAAGCAATTTATTTGCTCATTTATCCAATCGATAGTTCTTTGCTGTTGCATGCATTTTTTGCTAGAACGTATATTCATTTTTAAATGTTCGACCTTCAAACTATTTAGAAAGAAAAATGGTACGGATTTTTTAAAGATTACAACACATTTGGGAGTCTTTTGGTGTTACTGGTGTCCATGAGTGGCTGTGATCGCTTACCAATAATTAAGATATTTAGATGGATGCCTACTTCAACTCGATTTAGTGAATGGATCGAAAAATGTCCACTTCCCAAAAATTAAACTTCTGAAAATGAGAAACATTTAAAAATAAAAATAACATATTATTCGCATAATAGGTACTAACTTTATGTAGTTTCTATTTAAATTGAGTAGGTATACTTTAACAAGGTAATTTCAATTTTGTAAATACGTATTATATTTTTTCTCCTCTCTCTATCTCCTTTATATTTTATCTATATACGTACTAAGGGGTATATGACGATAGACATTAAAAAACAATATATATTTACAATCTAAATGTGTTTTTCTTCATCTCCCATAAAATCATATAGGTATAATCCAGTATTTAAGTAGAAATAACTATAATGGATAATCTACCTACGGATCTGTTTGGAGAAGCAGCAAAGATTCCGTTATGTTAATTTATTTATAACACTAACTCAAATCTCATTAGAAAACGTTACATTAAACTACTAATAATATTTTATTAAATTAATAATCTGGCTAAACGTTAATAGGTAGTATCGTGACGGGTGAAATTGCAATTAATCAACAAAACATTCGTATGTTCTAAATTACACCTTCATTATATAAGGTGATAAGTATGTAAGTGGTTCTCTGGGATCTGGAATCTGGTTTCCCGCCTGCAATATATATAGCAGTAATAATATTCAGTAGTTTTTATGTAAAGGAGTAACAAACGTGCGTTCGTAGGTCTAGGGCGCTGAATAACGGTACTAAGGAACATTGTAGCTATCTATCATATTTATATCCGACCAGCGGTTCCAAAGATTACACCCCCACACACACAAACTTACTTTTACCTCGTTTTAATAAATATTATTATTTTTCAATATTTTATTGTATTGTGGTATTTTATTGTATTTATGGTAGTACATAATAAATGTAGAAATTGATTCAATCCTGAATGTCAAACCGTACTAAGTCCGAATTATTGTAGTAGGTATCTAATAAGTTTGAAGCAGCGAAATCTCTTATCGGATTAAGTCCGTATTTTGAGAATCTTCTCATTGACCTACTCTGTGAAAACAACATTTTAGACCCACTAATTGTGTTTTTGTTGTAGGAGAGAACGCACAATGTGGTACGTTTTTTTTTATTTTTGTAAGGGGAAACCATCAAATGTGTCAGAATCTTACTGACTAAAAGCCCCCCTGGTCTTCTCCTTCTCTGCAAGCTGTGCTCCGTCTGGTCTGGTACGCTAGGGTCTGGTTCTGCTCAAGTGGCGAGCTACCCGTCCGTCGCCTACTTGCGGCATCTGGGAATTAGACGGCTAGTTCCCTTACGCGTACCGCTTCCTTTTGTGCGAGCATGACTACTTCGCAGAACGAGGAGGGGGCTTCCCAGCTTATCTCGCGTCGCACAATGGCCTCGAATAAAACCGGACGCGGACGGGGTTAATACTGACTATGACAAATATTTTCAACGCGACTGTTAGCTGGCTGTTAATATGGGAGTCTGATCACTTCTGTAATTTTTTGTGTATTCTACTTACTTATTTCATTTTCAAATACATAACATTGTCTCTCACGAACAGTCTCTGTGATAGTAATAAAAGTCACGGTCACAAAAAGCCGCAATCAGCGACGGGCTTGAGGAAGTAATAAGGATAGATTTTATTTTTTACGGATCAGTGTTGTGTTAGTACAGTTTTGTATGACCGATTAAGGAGAAGACACATTATATTTTTCCTGACCCGAAAGTTTATTGTTAAAATAAAACATTATTAACCCGAAAGTAACTCTGTCTGTCTGTCTTTTCTTTACGCCTAAACTAATGAACCGATTTCTGTGAAATTTGGTACAGATAAAGTTTGGAACTCGAGAAAGCCAAAAATTTGCAGGAAGTCACTATTAAACGCGAATGGAGTCTCGGGCAAAAGCTAGTTGCAAATAAATCATTAAATACAAAAGTTTGCCTCTGAAAACAATGTAACAATTACTTAAAGGTACTTACATATATAGATTGAATGTGATTTGAAGTTGAAAAATGAGATTGTCTTGTCGACTCCAAAATCTCGACACTTAAATAAAATTGCAAAATTAAAGCTTATAAAAAATGAGAATGGATCCTTGTTCTAACGATACAGGCAATGATGTTACAAAATCTTCTAAAAAATCCTTTTTGTGATTGCTTAGCGTTCAATTTTACTAGTGGACCGTTTACCCGTCTCAAGTGGCTGATAACAGTTAGAAAACTGTAGGCGTCCACAAAAGTAGAAAAAAAATGTGGTTTAGAAAAGAACCTACTTATTATTTTACTTCTATCTTATGTGACGTTAGTTCACCTCGTCTGAACTATTAACAGAAATGTTATTGTCAATGTGTAAATTATTAGGACATTTTTTTTAAGAAAGAATATAAGTAGATTATGTTTCAAAAAAAAATTATTAACTTTTGTGCATACCTATCACTGTCGAAAAATATTATAATCTTAACTTTACCCAAGAACCTAGTTAATGCATGCTGTGCTTACCTATAAGAGATTGTTAGACAAGTATTATGATGAAAGTATTTATTTATTATTTTATGATGTACAAAAAAATTATGAGCCAAATAAATAAAATAAAAATTACCCTATCAATCTTGGTAATTTGAGACACGATAGAAGAACAATAGGACGCGAACGCCGGCGTTCCCTTCGGATTTGATTAATTAATTGCAATCCAAAATGATATACGTATATTTAAATACGTAACAACCAAACTACCTAACAAGACATGCCAAAACTCTGTCCCCAACTTGTAACAAGTGACACTACATGGTTGGAAGAACCGTAACGGTAGCCCCTCGGGTAACAGGAAAATGACGAGGACAAAGAACACGGGGTCACGGAAATGTACCTTTTACACAATACTATCCTTGCTTGAAGCAAAATCTACATATTTGACTTAAGAAAATGGAATCCTACGAGTTTATATTTAGAAAATAGTATTTTATGTGCGCACAAAGTATCAAATGTAAAAATTAGTGATCGATTTGTGGTAAATGCGACTGTTTTGTATTATTACTTTCTACGGTGGATGGGCAACTGGCTGCCGCACAACGTGTTGGGGGTACGATCCCCACACGGAACAACTCTTTGTGTGATCCACAGATTGTTGTTCCGGGTCTGGGTGTAATGTGCATGTAAAATTTTATCTTTGTGAACGCACCCACGACACACAAGAGAACCCTAGTGTATTTTTTTTTTCACGTAAAATCTTACCTATAAATCAATGAATGAAAGACATTTTCTTCAGACAAAAGTCTATAATATATTGTTAGTAATACAAGCAACCTTATAAAGCTATTGTTATTAGTTACACAAAAAGACAAGAAAAAGACGAAACAGTGGCGTCGCGAAGTAACACCAGTTTATGCTATAACGAGGTGTCTTCTTTAGGAAGGGAAATCATCAAATAACTTCTTTCGCCTAGGGTACGATAAGAGAGAGTGTCAGAGTGATACTTTTGTTTTAATGATTATAGGTTCGCGCTTGACCGCTATCTCACCTGATGGAAAGCCACGATGCGGTCGACGATGGGGCGCGCTTACCTAGAAGTAACCTATTAACTCTTGACTTAAAGATACCCGAAAAAAAAGTAATACTGACTAATAACCTCGTATTCCCTCTGTTGCGTCAAGCCCTGGTACATTATTGCGGTTGCCCCAATCCCCGGCTAAAACAAGGTCTGGGCCACATCCTAATGCATGGACCCCTATTACTTGACTCATGCGTAACATTAGTGCAGAGAAGTGATGATTCGATGACGGTATTATTGGAACATAAACCATGCTTTTTTACTATTTCTTACCACTCATAACCCTTTTCAAGTATTACATAATTTATTATTTTCGACTTTATAAATGTTATAATAATACCAAAATTGAGATTTAAATAGGAATATATGTTTAGCCAAACTTAAGCCTCGACCTTTTTCAGTCCCCGTACGTGCATGGGTCCACATACATGGAGATTTTGTTGTCAGGAAGAGGTCCTAAATTAAATGTCAACTTTTGGCAGACAAGGAGATTTTTTAAACGGTTCCAGAAAGTAACGAAAATCTTATTATTTTTATTTATTTGCTTTGATGGCATTGTGAATACCGCCAGTAAGACACGGTAATTAAATAATAACGCTAGTCGAAAAATAACAAAAGCCAACATAATAAAACTAAAGAAGCTATTTTTCTGCCTCTAAAATATAATTATTTATAATTAGCTAGTTAGTTATACCCGCTGCTCGGCTCCTAATAGTCGTAGGGTGATGTTTTAGACTATAGCACACAGGAACATTGTAGCTATCTATCAGTAAAATAATTTTGGTAATCCGAATAGCGGTTCAAAAGGCCACCTCCTACATATAAACAAATTTTATGTATTTATAATTTTAATATAGATAAATACATTTTCTTTAAGAAACATTGCCCCCTTTTCTAAAATATTTAATAAATAATTCTTATACACACATACATTATTCGCCTATAAGTATCCACTGCTGAGCAAAGGCCTTTTCTGACAAAGAACTGAGAAAGTTTGAGCATTAATCACCATGCTTGCTCAATTTCAAACTTATAATTAGAAATTATAGGTCCAGCTTTCCTCACGATACTAGGTTCCTCACTTTACCATATGTCAGTGGTATCTTAATAATCATATAAAGAATATTTAAGTCGGAAGGAAGTCACATTGGTTCTTGCCAGATTACCACGTTACCATTGGTTATTCGGGCACGCTACTATAGCAGCGGTAAGACCCGTCTTTGACGAGTGGCTTGAGAGACACCACGGCGTCCTCACCTTCCGCCTGACGCAGGTACTTACCGGGCACCGCAGCTTCGGTAGGTTCCTGTTTCGGATCCAGCGGGAGGAAACGCCCGAGTGTCGTCATTGTGAGGACCACCTAGAGGTTACGGTGGAGCATACGGTAGCGGTACGCCCTGCCTGGGCTGAGCACCACCGTGTCCTCAGGGAAGTGATCGGCGGCGGGGACCTCTCGCGCCCGACCTTAGTCGAGGCCATGTTGCGGAGTGAGAGGAACTGGGACGCCGTCTCCTCCTTTTGTGAAGCAGTCGAGCACGCAAAGAGAGAGATGATTTTCCCCTCACAAAAAAAAAAATTGGTTATTGACAGGCCTTAAACTCCGAGCTACCATGATATTTGAGAAATTTTCTTATAAATAATAAATAGCAAAAACCTTCTTCGAAATCTGAAACTTCAAAATAAACAAATAAAATTATTGCAAACATCCCGGAAAAGTAAATACAAATCCACTTGAGTATTACAAAACTACGCAAACAATGTAACCGTAAACGAAGTTATGTTAAAACAAAGATATTCACAAAAAGAAATTCTTTATCAAGTTGTAACAATTAAAAACAAAAAGTGTAGAAAATTTACGGTCCACAGTTTTCGTAACTAATACAGACAACCTTGATTTTGTTATGTCAAAAAACCACGTAGTATTAGTATTTTTGGCTAAAGTGCTTTTCAGAATTATGTATATTTTTGTACACGGATTTAGTCTTAAAATGTGAAGAAAAAAATATTGATAGACCGTAATAGGTGTACGCTATTAAAGCATTGTTTCATGGAAAGTAGAATTTTACTAAAAAAATGTTGGTCAAGATACTCTGATAGATCTTAATCTTTTTTGTTTCCATCTTTCCTTTCTGCTGTTATAAACCCATCAAAATCCTGACTTCCACCGATAACTCTTTTTTGCTTCAGCCAACGATTAGTATGGTAAAAAATGCCAATAAACATTATGAAGGCTGCTTGGGTTGTATTCTTACAAAAGTTTGTAAAGGCACAGTAGTAATTGTATTAAATTACCTGCTAATTCTTATAAAATATAACACACTCGTTTTTTCAATGTAGTGTATACACACAAAAGAGACGAGTGAACCGCCTACCAATTATAATAAAATAAGCGACCCACCCCGGCTTCGCACGAGAGCAATGCTAATGTTAAACTTCTCTACTATTAAATGGATGTTAATAAATAACTGCATCAAAATCCGTTGCGTAGTTTTAAAGAAGCAAGCATACAAAAGGATATAGGGTCAGAGAAAGATACCTTGTTTTTATAATGTAGGCAAAATAATGGGCCTGCTTCGGCAATGCACAAAAGAGACTGCAGCACCCGGGGCATTGGATACGTATATTGTTCTTTATACTTTTGATATATTGTACTCTGATACTCTTTGCTCTTTAGCAGTAAAGTAGAATGGTTTAAGTGTTCTAAGAATACAATCCTCAAACTGACTGCATGGTTGATGCGGTGGCTGGGCAACTGGCTGCCGTACAACGTGTCTCTAACTCTTTGTGTGATCCACAAATCGTTGGCCTGGGTGTCATGTGTATGTGAAATTGTATGTTTGTAACCGCGCTCACAATACAGGAGAAAATACTAATAAGGGACAACTTTATTTAAAAAAAAAACAACGTCTCTCTCTTCGAATTTTGTTGTGGGTTTCAGATTTTTAAAGTTGTATCGATCTTGGTTGATAGGTGATCGCAAAATTAAAGGGGTATACAACTTGTCCCTGTAAGAACATGTAAAATCACTTTCAGTATTAGGTTTTTTTCCTAAGAAACCTAAGTTTCAATGTGGTGTACTGTGTACAAAAGATTTTTTGTATAAAAGTAACAATATTACGTAATACGTTTACCTAAATTCTCTAGACACGTAATTCTTACTTTTACTTTGTTAACACGTACCTAAACTGGTGTCTAGAGAAAGCTTTAGGTTAGAAAAACTACTTACATTTTTATTGTATATTACTTGTGCTTACATTTTTTAATGAAAATATTTATTATATTTAACTTTTTACGTAAATAATACGCACGCACATATACATGTATGTGAATGTGAATGGCTTAAGAAGAATGTCTGTCTGCTTACGTCTTTCATCAATCATTGGTTCATCACTTTCTATGTGTCCCAAGGCTCGACTAGAACAAAGTGCCTAAGGCATTAAATCCGACCGAAATACATATACCAACTGGGCATGAAATATAAATAAATATATGATATTAGGTTGTTTAAATAGGGAATTTAAACAACCCAATAACGGTACAGTCAGGGGTCAAAAATGCAATTGCACTCTACCAATTTTAAAATGACCAAAATATATTTGTATGTTTGTGTGTGTCTTTGAGTCAATGGTTGAGGACTGCTTTAATTTATAGCATAGAATCTAAACTATTGAATAAACTGGCTGTAAACCATTGAACTTTTACTACAAAGAAATTTTAGTCATTTTGAAATTAGTAGAGTGTAATTACATTTTTGACCCCTGACTGTACATGGATTGGAAGAGTTGGGAAGTCAGAGAGAAAGTGGCATGAGTGGGTCGGTTCAACCGGAGTGATACTACGGCCTCACACAAAATAGGCGTGATCACAGCTTAGGTTTACCTACCGCATACTTGGGGTTACCGCAGGTCCAATCCTTCCCCAATCCCTAAATCTCCGAGACCCAAATCCGGAAAATGCCGGAAACGTACTCCTAACTCCTCTGATGTTATGGGTGTCTCTGGGCCGCGCCGATTGCTCACCATCAGGTAATCCGTCTGCACGCTTGTCGTATTCTTATCACATAACTAATAAAAAAAGTTATGTAATACTCTTGTGTTTCATATAATTCTGCATTTCTAAACTTTCATTAAATAAGAAGTGAGTCTTTTCTAAAACTAACATGGCGAAAGAAAATGGATACTGTTCTCTATAAAAACAAAACGCACAAATAAAAGTAGCAAACTAATTCAATTCTAGACTAACACCTGAGACTCATGAAGTGGGAAAACTCTTATGTTGTTAGTGGCTAAGGAACTTGGTGCTACGTTTTGTTAAGATATAATTTGTGAGAATGTATTGCTGTAAAATAAAAACAAACAGTTTTATTTCACGCAAAAACCGCTGGAATGATTTAGTTAAAATTTTGGTATGTAATTAGGTAATGCCCTGGATTAACACATCATATGCTTTTTTACAAACACACAACACGGGCGAAGGCTTGTATGACCTATAGTAGTAACAGTAACAGCTAGTTTTGTATCGTTTTTTAATCCTAATACCTACATAAGATGCTTTTTCATGTATCGTAAGTGCGATTAGAAACAGGCCGAATTCCATATCAAAACCACAGTGCGAGGATCACACAAAAAGTTTTTCATCATGACTTTTACAATTTTTTTATAAGCTCGCGCTTGCTCACTGTGGTATTCTCGCAATCGTTCAATTAACATAATATTCATTGATTCCAATTACGGAAATTCATTTATCATCACCAACTGGAAAATGTCTACTGTTGAACAAAGACCTTAACCACGTCGACACCTCGCCTCTTTCATCCACTGACTCTCCGCGACTCTGACGATGTTTTTAGTCCACCTGGTAGGAGGCACGTCTACGCTACGTCTTCCAGTCCGTGGTCGCCATTCGAGAACTTACTGGGTCTATAAGCCGTTATTACTAACATTATTGTTGTTTAAAAAATATAAGGTTTAATTTTTTTTTTTTCTTTGTTGCAGATCGGTTGGCGAACAACGAATGCGTGGCTAGCTGGGAATCTAGCTTGCAAGTTCTTTTTAGTTCTAAGAGCTTTCGGCCTGTACCTATCATCTAATGTCTTGGTCTGCATATCGCTTGATAGGTAAGTGTTATGTTTTGAATATTGATTACTAATATTCGAGAAGTGTAAGTGTCCAGCAGAGAGATTACCTGATTGTATGCAATTGACGTTGCCCATCGACATCCACAACACCATTATTACAAGTGCCATTCCAGCATTATGTGGATAAGGATTTTCGGGGGTTTAATAATTGGGGAAGGATAGGGGGAAGCAAGGATTGGAGCCTCCAGTAACATTACTCACACGTCGTTACACAACGATGAGGTTGTTTCACGACAGTTTTCTGTAAGGCCGTGGTATCTCTCCAATCGAGCCAGTCCATCCGTGGCGAAGGATGGGTCTCCCACACTTTAAAGTGTTCTTAGCGATTACGAAATAGCGGCCCACCTAGGCGACACAAAATCGACGTCCAAACGCCTGACGTGGTTGCTATAGCAGTTATATCGTGGTTGCGTATTCAATCGGAAACGCTGCGGCTAACCGCCCCTCTATATTGGCCAGCTCGTGCCTTAGGAGCTCTAGTTAGGTCTCTAAATGAGCACAGTGTTTCGTCATAGGTCTACTTCTATCACATTTTGACTTATAACCTATAGGCAATTAGCGATTATCATCATGATTATGTCCTGGCAGACAAAAGCCTATTCGTTCTATGATAACGACGGTTCTCTCACATTATGTTATTTTTACATTGTCTGGACTTGAAAAGAGACTGACCTCTGAGTTTGTTTCGGCATTTCTTCTCAGAGTAGTCAGATAGGAAATGCCGGTTTCATCAAGTTTTTTACATATAAATTGACGTGTAAAAGTGCCGTTTTATGACCTATTTGCAAAAATAAATTCATTGTTTCATTGATAAAATTCCCCAAATGTTAAATTTATGCAAATGGCAATATTAATTTTTGATCAAAAAGTCAAAAGTCAAAAATCATTTATTCCAATTAGACCTTTACAGGCACTTTTGAACGTCAAACAAAATTTAAAATAAAAAATAGTGTCAGTCTGTCGGTCAGTCCTCTTAGTGAAGCTATTTGCTCGTTCCAAAGTGTAGATTCCGATGGAGAAGAACGAGCAAGAAACTCCATGGTTACTCTTTTTAAATCAGTTTCACATACAGATTCCTTTTACAAACAGTTGGTTCAATTATGTGAGAACAGTGTAACACTAATATTTATTCAAATATAAAAATTAAGTAACCTTAAGGACAATAGACAGTCTGGAGCTGACCAGTCCCAACTGACGGCGCTCGTTCACGAGCATGACACGTACACCAGCATCGCCCAACTCAACCATATTATAGGGAATTAAGCGATCCAGTGCCCATGCCACCGCCAGTGTGACCTTTCAGTGAGCATGACAACTCCAAGCTGTTATAAGGACCGACATTCTGCTAGTCTAACCAATTATAATAGGTTACAGGGCACTCACATTTACAAATTTATCAAGTTATAGTTATACAATATAATGCAATTTCACTAAAATGAAGAAGTCCCGTTCAAGCAAAATCCATTGGAACGTTATTTATTTTGGTGTACGTTTGCTATCCTGTGGAGCAGGACCAGCATGTCTCCAAGCATCTTTATCTACAATGTAATCATTCAGTGTGTAGTATGCTTTTCTACACAAAGTTTTCTTTACACATAATTTAAAATTTCTTTCATTTAATTGTTGTATTTCGCCTGGGATTTTGTTATAACACTTAACGCTGAATCCCATGAACGACTTGTGTACCTTTGCCAATCTAAATAATGGCTGACACAATCTATCTCTATGTCTAGTTTGGTAATTATGTCTGTCTGATACCTTATCAAATAATATTAAGTGTTTCCTAACATACATTATATTTTCATAAATAAACTGACCGGGCACAGTCATAATATTGATCTCTTTAAATTTATCTCTAAGAGATTCGCGAAGCCTTAGGTTGTAAATTGCTCTGATTGCACGCTTTTGCAAGACAAATATAGACTCAATGTCAGCAGCCTGTCCCCACAACAAGATGCCATACGACATAATGCTATGAAAGTAGCTGAAGTACACCAGTCTTGCAGTGTCCACATCTGTTAGCTGTCGGATCTTCCAGACAGCAAATGCTGCAGAACTCAACCGTCCTGCCAGAGATGTGATATGGGGCCCCCATTGTAGTTTTTCATCTATGGTTATACCCAGAAAAGTAGTTTGTTTTACAAATTCCAATTTATTACCGTTTAATAATATGTCACATTCGTTACTTTTAACATTTGGCAAACTGAATCGTATACATTTAGTCTTTTTGTCGTTTAGGACTAAATTATTAATTGTAAACCAATTATGAACCTTCGTTATAGCATTATTTACGTCGTCATAATTATCTGTCCGTCTATTTATTTTAAAAATCAACGATGTGTCATCAGCAAATAATACCATTCCCGGTTCACGTTGAAATAAATGAGGTAAATCATTTATGTACACTAAAAACAGGAAAGGACCTAATATTGAGCCCTGTGGTACGCCCATAGATATGCTAGTACCCTGGGAGTTCACTTTATTTACTTGTACTTTGAACTGCCTATCCTGCAGGTATGATTTTAATAAATTGAGAGATACCCCTCGAATGCCATAGTGTTCCAACTTCAGCAACAGTGTCGTGTGTTCAACGCAATCAAAAGCTTTAGACAGGTCACAAAAAATCCCAATAGCGTCGTTTGACTTTTCCCATGAGGCAAAAACATGCTTAAGTTGAGCTACACCGGCGTCAGTTGTGCATCGTCCCTTGGTAAACCCATATTGTTGGTCATGAAAGATGGAATTTATGTTAAAGTGTCGTAGCATCTGAGAAAGCATTAGCTTTTCAACCACTTTACTAAGCACTGGTAAAATTGATACCGGCCTATAATTATTGGGATCATTGTCATCGCCAGATTTAAACAACGGGACTACCTTGCTAAGTTTCATCAAATTTGGAAAAACACCCTGATCTACACTTTTATTAAAAATTACAGCTAAGTAAGGCGCTATAGCTTCTATAAAAGACCTACACACCACAACAGACATTCCCCATAGATCCTCTGTAGACTTAACTTTTATGTCTTTAAACGCCTTTATTACTGATTGCGGGTCCGTGTACTGAAATCGGAAGCCAGAACGGCATTCTTTAACATTTCTTTTAAGAAGACTAATAGAAAGTGCCGGCGATGATTCTAAGTCTTTCGTAGTTTTAATGGGGATATTCTTGAAAAAAAATTCGAATTCTTGGGCAACTTCTTGATTAGCATTAACTCGTCCATTATCCGTATTTAAATTAAATTCCGTGTTATGCAATTTATTTCTGCCTGTCTCGTTATTAATTACCTTCCACGTAGCTTTTGTTTTATTTTCAGCATTTTTAATCTTATTGCCAATATAAAGTGATTTAGCTTGCTTACAGACTGTTTTAAATATTTTTGCATATTTGGACACATGCTTGCTGAAGGCTTCACTAGTATCAAATGGTTTCATACCATATAGCTCAAATAACCTTTCCCTACTTCTACGAATACCTGGGGTAGCCCAGTCACAGAATACAAATTTACACTCAATAGTTTTTCTTTTTAAGGGGAATATTTTATCAAACTGGGTTTTAATCACGGACAGTAGATTGTCATAAATCTCACTTGGACCTTCATAATCATGTGATGGGCTGCATAATTTATGTTTCAAATTGTTATTTAATAACTCAACCCTTTTATTTGTGATTTGCCTAAACATTATTTCCTTTTTTGGCACCTTTGTGATGTTGTTAAGGTTCATTGTTAACCCACTGTGGTCTGTAGGTATTTATTATATCCTTATGTAAATAATTACAGTTACAAAATATATTATCTATGCATGTAGCCGAGGTGGATGTTACTCGGGTGGGCTCAAGGAAAACATTAGACAAATCAAAAGATTTAAAAAGACTTACCAAATTAACACAATTAGAATTGTTTTCTAAGAGATCAATATTAAAATCGCCACATACTATTGTGAATTTACTGTTTGAACACGCTTTCTGCAAAACTTGTTCCATGACTGAGTTAAAAATGTTTAAGTTCTGTAAGTTAGGAGGTCTATAAACGCATATTACAACATGCCTATCCAGCTCCACACAGGACAATTCAATTGTATGCTCAATGGAAAGTGAAGTAATATCTTGTCTTTCTTTATATTTAATTGAGTTTTTTAATAATATTAAACTACCACCATGAATCATTGCTTGACGGCTAAAGAAACTACCAACACAATAATTTTTAAAACTCATAAATTCTACCTGATACTTCTTCATCCAATGCTCTGTTATACAAACTATGTCAAATTTAAATTTTTCTAAAAATAATTCCAATTCTAGTAACTTGGATGAAATGCCCTGAATATTTTGACTGAGGAGTGTAAAATTTCCTCGTTTGTTTTTAGAATATAATTTATTGCGAGAAGATACCTGCTGATAACTTGTAGCATTAGAATTTAAAAGGTTTTCTTCCGTTGTCTCAAAATTTAATTTAAAAAGTTATCTGGAGTGCTACCCACATTTGTCACTAAATGTTGAGTCTCCATCGTACTATTATATGTACAGTCTATCACTACATTATTAGAGTATCTAAATAATGCAGTATCGTCACTTAAACTACATGCTAAGTTAATAATATTTGCTAGAAGGCTAGCAAGTAAAACTTTACATTTTCTAGGAATGGACAAAGATTTCCTAGTCAATTTAAAACCACTAACAAATTTGTTAGTATCAAAAAATAACAAATTGTCACTATGACAAGTCAAATTAAATATCATATTGTTTATGCTATTTATTCTTTGATTTTCAGACACTGACAGAGTGTCTGAATATGGGAAAGCACATAAAACTATCTTTCCCAAATCCAGCTTTAATAAGGTGTTGATACCATCAAGAATGTCCTTTTTTCTAACACCTGTACTATCACCCATCAGTAAAACAACAGGCTGATGTCTTGTGATATGTCCCTGGGCTATTTTGTTGATCAACTCACAAAATTTTATGTTGTGGTAACAGTAGT